ACTCAGCACACGCTCGGTACTAAGCCACGCATCCTATGCCGTTCTTAATTCTTGGCCTACTCGCGTGTGAGGAAGGTTAACTCATCGACCTAAATCCTCTTCATTCCATTGCCGCTGTTAAGACCATCAACTAGCAGCGAAGAAGGAAGATTTCGAGCGCCACGCGCCGACGGAGGCCCTTGGACGTCCTGGAGCACGAGCCATCACCGACACCAGCCATTGCAAGATTATTCGCAACTCTCAATTGAACATCTCAGCCCGTACTTCAAAGGCTCTATGCAGCGTCAATGAGATGTATGTAGATGTTTCAGAGGTACAGAAGCTAGACGTCCTGCTAGTTCATGACAAAGTTCATGGTATTGGTAGGATGAGCGAATTTGATTGAGGTAGTTGATTTCGGCTCATATATTTTCAGTGAAAATTTCAGACATACATTTCATATAAAGTAAGCTGAATGCACACCAACTAGTATATTATGACTATGTTGTTAACGATTATACTGGAACATTGTCTGGAATAAAGCTCGTAGCTACGCTGTTGTAGAACTGTGACTGTAAATATTATTAATAAAATCATATACTCGCCGCACAGAACTCCACGAGCACTACTCGATTATACTTGAAGCGTCAAGAAATACGAACTTCGTGGCAGGGGGTTCTCTCTCCTGTCCGTGAGTGTGCCGGGTGCCCCTTTCCGATAGGCGAACAAACTTAGCGCCCCATAAGCAGCTAGATGGATGGATTCCAACACTGCCTCGGTTACGTCGGATTGCACTGGCACGCTTAGCAGTATCTGTCTTCTTCGCAGTGAAGTCTAGATACTAAATATAGGCGATTCGCTCGTTGTCGAGAGTAGCAAAAGCGAACGGAACTAGCTCTGGGCCTTGCATAACTTGAGATATGTCCGTGATGCCCTGCACTGGGCTTGATGACTTTCGTCGCTTTCGTAATATACATTCTTTGCAATTAACGTGGCTGGAACTTCGCCTCCAAACGGACTGAATTGTATTTGCGAAGGTAAAAGTTAACCCTGTATTAGAGGAATATTACAATGTTTTCGACTTGAGGGAAGGTCATCATAATTGAGCGAATAATGAAATCGACCGAAGCTGTTACGCTAAAGCAATTTATAGAGACTAACGGTTTACTGCATTGTAACATTATTCTTAAAACATTGTTATCTTGCCAGATGTTCACTTTAGGCATTCCCTCAGGTTTTTAGCTAAATATATCGTGCGTCAGACTAATTGCTTAGTTTACAATGTTTCGATTGTTAGTGTCTCTAATACTGGAAACGTTAAAGGCAGAGTTAAAAAGTAATCTGAAAACCTTTTACGCCTCGGTACCTTTAAAAGAAATGTAAAGGCTCTTTCTGTATTTTCGCTAGTTTTCTTGTCGGGTAATAATGACACTTTTGCAACGAAAGAACGCAACAGAATCTAGTTTTTTGCAATACGTTTCACGAGACGCCAACATTTTATGGAGGTCGTTAAACTTCAATCGACTGTAGAAATGGGCAAGCGAAGTATGTAACGGACCTGCGTCCCAGGTCTGCAGACTATCCTGCAACACGTTCGACAGTAGCCCAACTAGCACGAAAGCAGGACGCAATGGTGAGGATGCCAGACGTTCTTTGGCGTCATTACACAAAGCCGCAAAGAACTTCTTCGAAGGCGAACCCTAGAACACTGGGAATGCATAACATACCCAGTTGCTGCTCTTAAGTCCGCTGGCACATTATTCAGTATTCCGAGACAATCCTTCTCAAAATTCGTCGCGTGGTTCTACCGTTGCTGACGAATGCTGCCAACCTGAAGCTGAAAAAAGTACAGCTTTTCTTATCCGCTCAGCTGATGAACTACCCTGCCCAGTAAATTGGCCGGTGACCATTTTCTATTGGGAGTAGCTGCTTGTATGATTATGAAGATGATGCTCCATTTAGAAACGGGTTTTGATATTTGTGAGGGAAACCTTCGTCGGTGGTCTTGTCACGATTGAAAATTGCTTAACAACCATCATATTCAACCGGCCATCTTTTCATCCGCCGTGTACATTAGAATCGCAATAATTGAGCGCAATATGTATACCGGTGCTTGCGTTCCGGTTGTCTGTTCTAGATGTTCTGTCATTTCGGTATATGCCATTAAACCTAGTTGCTCCCTAAGTGAGTTCCACTGTATTAGAAATTGTTTTGATATTGCCTATAGCATTATTATATTAGACTGAAATTTCCCCTTTCTTCTCTCTTGGAAACTGAATTTAGGCAAACAAAAACAAATTTCTCTATATCGAAGGATAACTTTGATCCTATAGTTCTTTTCACAACATTGAAATTAGGTCATCGACTGCAGTCTCTCTTACCTAAGATGGTTTCGCTTTTGGTGGACCTCAAATTGCTTACCTACAGTTCGTTTCGACTATTAAAAAGGTCTGTAGTAATGAGTTCATTTTACGACAAGGCTTAACTTTCATCATTAATGTCGAAACTCATCACGACTTTTCATGAACTGTATCATATTTCCCGTTAGCAGTGAAAGTAACTTACTCCCACTCCGATTTTGTACTACTCCATGTGGTGCAAAAACACTCTGTTGTAGGACACAAAACCAAATCTGTTAGAAATTTACCTTTCTCGGATCTTGTTTATTTATTACATTCTAATGTTCAGCCCATCAGTGTCCTCTAATCAGTATTGTACCTTTTCAAAATCTACTTCTCCTTGATCTCTGACCAAGCGATTATCTATCTGCTCGTGACTTCCTGACACGACTAGCCTGATTGGTCCCCCTCTGAAACCCGAGCGCATGAAATCCTATTTTACTCTCAAATTGTTTTTTCCCCTAACTATTAGCTAGCTAGTTGTGAAGCCGGGTTAATTCACGACTGTAGACCTGATACAAGGATTTTGTGCAGTTAATTCTTAAGACAAGTCCCGTCCCTTTATCTCTGCCTGAATCCATCTCATTCCTTGAGAGACCTCATTTCTGTGAACGCCTTCGCATCGTCGACAAGCGAATGGGTCAGAAACGTTAAGGGGCCGACCGGAGGTAGGTGAAGGTGATCTTTCGTCCTTGGACTCAAAGGCGGATCTCCTTAAACTCGACACGAACCAGCTCGCCGTGAATTTGGTATAAACGACCCCGTTAAATGCAGCGGGGTACTCGCATAACCACACGCTTATTTCAGCCGTGAAGGGAACCGGGCCGGCGGAACGAGCGGCCCAGTGAAAGCTCGCAAGGCTCTCGATACGTCCTTGTAGCTTTCCTATTTAGTATTCTAACGGTGCCCGTGCCTACCTTGCGCTTTCTGAATCCGCTGTCAACCTTCGACGTTCGTGTCGCGCTTTATAATGGCCCATATGCCACATGCATAAAAGTGATTAGAGGAGACTAAAGCAGGGATCGCACGCGGCATATGCCAGCATACATATACCATTGTACGACTACCAGACACGGATAGCGGGTTTTGTGCGCATACACAGGTTGTACCCTCTGAAGTGTCTACAAGAGCATTACAACGAGCGGCAAGGATGGGCGGAGAACGTGGGCCTCGGTCTAGCTAGACAAAAAAAAAATCGCCGCGATGGTCCGGTTGAAAACGATGACTCTCTACTTTTACTTTTGCTGGAAAATAAACCTCTTTTATTTTGGGGAAAAAATACATAACAATAGTTGTAATGCTTTGGATGAGGCATGGGTCAAGGACGGAATGCACTCAGAACAGAAAAAAAAAACGGTAAACGGGTGAGCTTTTCTATTTGAAAACTAGATTTGAGCTACTTTAACGTTTGTCTAATGATAAACTTAAGTCTAGCTATCTCTATAACGAAATGAATGTCGTCTCTGAAGTTATTATTTTACTTTTCTTAACTTATATTGTACAATCGAGCTTCTTGATACGCGTCCACATTACTTCAATTCTGCTCGAAACAGAGATAGCGAAGTTGAGCGAAGCAATATTCAGTTCTTATTGAAGATGCCTTAATGACGATGTTCGGCGGTTTACCAGCTCATAAAGTTGTTATATAGCTAAATAATGTTGTACGTATTTTTTTTAAGCGGTCTGTTATAAGAATTGGTAAAATGACATTGACACAAAACAGAATAAGTATTTAATCCATTTGCCCTTATTTATTGATTGAGAATAAACACTCGCTTTTTCCAGATTTCATATTTACGTACAAATATATAACAACCACAATTCGTGTCTGCCAGAGGGAACGTCAGCGTTTTCCTAAAACACTGACGTGAGCAGAACTCAATCGTATGTCGATACGAAACAAAACTCCTGATAAAAAACATATGAAGGAAGATTCCTTGACAAGCTGGAAAATCAGCTTACAATTTTTGAGATGTTGACAGATCTTAGAAATGAGAAATTATTTGTTGTAGGGAAAAAATAAGCAGCCGTAAGCCATCTAATGTCTTATCCTCCTTCGGTATAGGACACGTCTATATCCTTTTTGGCAAAGATTCGAATACTCCTCAGGTGCGCACAGTGACCCTTATTCGGCCTATTCGCTAAACAGTTTCCGATAATCGCCACCCTTTACAGGTAACAGATTGCAATAGACGTTAGCGTTTATCACTAGGCATCGCTCCTAGTTTAACTACGAAAATGTAGTCATATTGGGGGTATCAGGTGTTTGTCTGAGTTCGCTATTGGAAGACAATCAACTATGCACTTGAACTAACGTTGTTTTCAACAGATAAAAAATTTGATTGGTAAGTTTTGCACATTTCCATCGAATTAGGTAACTTGTAATTTCTGCAAAGGACGGGACGGACAATGACACTGACCTATCGCTTGACCCCAGTGCAATATGAACCTTACGTAAGAGACCTAAGACAAAACGACCTTTGCGTTGAAAGCTCATTTTTGTAGTCAGATATTTTACATAGATCAGAAAAACAGAACGTGATCAGGCTTCTTTCATTATATAATTGAACGGTCCGTATGGTAGCTCTGTTTCACACAACTGGCTTGGAACTCTAAGTATATTTCTCGTCACCATATCCGATTTTGGGGTGTCAAATCTGATTTTGAATACTTTGCGGGTGTCAAGCAAGAATATCATGACTGCTCTTCTATAAAACGAAATTTAATAACAAAGGAAGCCACATTTTCTGTTTTGGTATAAAATAACTCATTTATCGACACTACTGCAACAACGATGTGCAGTGGTCGTACACACGCTTAACGTTTTCAATTTTTTTCTGAAAACTAATAATCATAACTTAGCTATTTATACTAATTACATAGTACACTGTGGTGACTTCAGGTTTTTTTGCAGCTTGGGCCATCAAAACATAATAGATATACGACCGAACAAAAAGGATCTTTATTCAACTGACGTGTACATTTCACGAACTTTTTTTTACACCTCTGTCAGAAATACACCAATTTTTTGGCTCCTGTCTGCGAATCTGAAGGTTTTTGGCCCAAAACCAACGGTAGAACATGTGCCCTCATCGTCCTTGAAGCTTATGGGTTTGATGAATGCGCAAAGCAAGTTTGCTGACTCAAAGGCCGATCTGCTCAGCCCTTTAGCGGTGAGCAATATAACGCAGTACTTTCAAGTTAAGCTCGACCTTTGCTCAGATTCTAATTGTATATTAAATTAAAACTTATATTCTGGTCGATTGAAATTAGGAAACGCGTGACAAACATATGCTTCGAGCTTGATAGATGCTCCGTAGCGATCTGTCAGTAGCAGCAAGCACGTTTTGATGCCCTGCAGGACAGGTGCCATGGTTTTGAAGATGCGACACCTAACCTACCTCATCGTTCTTCAGTCGCAACTTCTAATTGGTCAGGAACGATTTTTATACGAGTGGCCACGAAATATGCATTTAGTGCAATCTGAAACAGCACAAAACAGAAGCTAAACTTGTACTAATTAGATCATAAATTACAAAATTATTATTACGAAATAATAAAGCACTAAGGAATTACATAGAGTTCCGCTGTGACCATGTCGAACAATTCAATTGTAGTCCGTTTCTATAGGGCTAAGAGCCACTTCGTCGAGCGTAATAATGTACAGATTCGATAAAATTGGAAGCAAAGATAGATCACGAATCATAAACTTTACGGCCTTCTAAAAGTTAACAAAATGCAAATCTTAAAGTATAGCTCAGTATAATGCCATACTGGCCTTTGGTTGTCGGCGAGGTTATAATTGGCTTTATGAAATATCGTATTCATCAGTAAAAACGAGATTTTATCTGCAGTAATGGAAATATTTGCCCTCTACAAAGACTACTGTTTTTTTTTCTCATTTGCTACAAGCTAAAATAAAAATAAGAAAATATTTCAATAGACATAGCTGTCTTTTAAAAGAGTACGAACTTCGAACGAAACGAAACGAAACTCGAAGAAATATCGCACTTGCTCCGATCGATGTTGAATACCGTTTCCTTATAGACCCTGCTTGGGGAAAAAGAAAATTGTATGTTATTTTTGTATTGAAGTTCTAAGATGAAGTCTAAATAATGTACTACTTTACTAATAAAATTTAAGTGACAACAAAATAATAACGATACAGAGTAACCGAGCTGACGAAACAAGATATTAGTAGACACAAATCAATCGAACTTAACCCCGACGGTATATAACCCACTGTGGTTTTCATATATCAAATCACCAACCTCATTTAGCGTAGCTGTAGTTTCGGGATCGTTCTCATATGCTACGTGCTGAAATATTGAGTAGGTGGATTAGTGCACGGAAGACAAAAAAGCATTTGTGAACGTCTATGGACATTTCTGTCGTTCTGATACATTGAAGCGAACATTATAATTTTAATTATTTTGCATTTACCTTAACTTTACCATCTATAGTTTTACTTCTTGTTGACCCTCAGTCTACACACCGCTCAAGTGTTTCTATATTTTCCCTGATACCAGCTTAGCGGTGTAACCATTGAATAGGGTCGTGTTACCATTAGGCTGGCTGACTCTCATGCGACTTTCTTCGTCAAGATCGACCGTAGTTGTACGGGACACGTACCGCCTACCTGGTACCTGCAGCATACATAAACTGAGAGCTCTCTCTCATAATTACTAGATCCAAATTGATTAATATAGTCATCAGCAGTTTGATCTGTAGTAGAAATTATAGTACGTACATGCTTAGATATTATAAGATCCAGTAAAGAATTTTAGAGTAGCTTAGTTAGTCAACTGGCCTCACCGTAATGTCGCTGGTATCTTTTGGACGGTGTATCCTTAAAAAAGGCGGCAGCCGACCCAAAGCGACACATCAGGCCTTACGATCTGCTAAAGTTCTACCTCAATAGTTTCAATCAATTGGAGCTAATGTTAAAAGAGATAAGTGACCAAGTTTACTTGCCCGTTCAGGTAAGCTAAGCGGGTTGAGGCCATTCACGTCCATAGTCGTCTTTATATAGTCTGGCCTACATTTAGAAAATCAATCAACATATCCTGGCGGTGTTTACTTGTACAAGCATCACTTTTCCTCGCTTTTAAAAAAAGGCCTCACGATCTGACGCAGTTTTACAATGCGCTACTTCTACTATTTTTATTTCTATGTACCGATACGGTAGTTTCACCTATATACCCGTACCTATCGATATAATGAGTTTACATAGTATATTTTCTACATAAAAATCGCTGTACGATAGTAATAGTCACTGATGTGATATTTGAGTATGTGTTCAAAATCGGAATTTTATAAGCCCGCTTCAATCACGCCTTAGTATATAGCAGCAGTGACGAGAGAACGCCTTAGAGGAAGCACAATAAATGCCCCTTTAAAACAAGCTGAGGTAGTTGTACATGATATAGTATTCCAAAGAAGCAGTAATATAGGAATTATTTCACAAATCCATGAACGGCTACATCTTCAGGATTGTCGTCAAAATTATGTATGCCAGTCTGCCGAAGATGGCCATTTCAATGAAACAGCGCAGCGTATGTGGATAACGAATCCTCACCCCAAACTAGGTACTGTAATT